AAAATATTAAATGATTATAACTACTAGTAAAACAATGTTTAGAGTAATTAATACTCCATCCTAAGTCATCTGATGAAAACATCAATGAAAAGACAATTAGACCTACAAAATCGAAGAGTTTATTCAGATACGTTTCTTTTGAATGGTTTTTTGTTAAATCCTTAGAATAGACACACTGATTCAAATTTTATGGTAATTCTGAGTTTCAATCAATGATCGCTTTACATTCGGTAGTTAATGATTCATTGTAGGTATGCTTTACTTTCACTTTTTTTTAAATAAACCATTTTATAATAAGGATTTTTTTTTTGCAACTTGATTAGAATATTTTTAGTTTTTATCTATAGGATATTTTTTATAATAAAAGTGAGGATTTTTATGTGATTTTCCTTAGGTTTTTTATTTTTAATGAATTGAATCATTGCTAAATCGCTACTTGATCGTCATATGTATACAATTAACCATGTTTAGGTATTTTGCTCTCATCTAACTTAAGAGTATTAGATACAACGTGACAAATTTGTCCTTGAATTTTTATGTTATAATTAGATTTATCTTTTTGTTCTTTCTCATTACTTATAAAATATGCAAAACTAAAAATGGCATTATAATATTGAATTAGTATTCTTTGAGTTTTATCATGAAAAATAAGTTTTCTAGTTTTTTGTCATATTCACTCTGAGGACTTAAAACAAATTTTGCCATTGTGACAACAAATATATTTCTTGCGTTTTTCTTTTCAGAACATTATTGAACAATACTTACATATAATACTCATTTCACCATAGGAAAAAAGTTCTATCGAGGACTTATAATATTGAATTAGTATTCTTTGAGTTTTATCATGAAAAATAAGTTTTTCTAGTTTTTTGTCATATTCACTCTGAGGACTTAAAACAAATTTTGCCATTGTGACAACAAATATATTTCTTGCGTTTTTCTTTTCAGAACATTATTGAACAATACTTACATATAATACTCATTTCACCATAGGAAAAAAGTTCTATCGAGGACTTATTATTATTTGTTGCACTGAAAAGACAACAATTGTTATAAAGACAATTTTTAATAAAACTAATATTGACAAATTTTTTTTCATTTTTTGTAAATTTGTGATTAAAAACAGGAGTTAATATTGAGAAACTACGATATGTATTCAAAACAACGGTCTGGGTAAAAGCAAAGGTCATCATGGAATGACCCCTTCTATTCCTAACAATTTTTGTATGTATAATTTCTTTATTGGTGCTTTGAATAAATAAATCGTTTCTTATGCTTTTAGGCGTATTTCATACAAATAACTGTAACGTTTTTTTGTCAAAAAACAATTTTATGAAACCAATGAGATATTAAAAAGCGATAATATTTTGAAAAAACTGAAGTATTGGTGTTAAATTCATAACGTTGGTTTATATACTCTTATAGAAGTACGATTTTTTCACTAATTACGACTAAAAAAGATTTTCAACTTTGCTAAAATTCAACTATATTTTGATCATAATATTTTGTGAGCAGCATGTAAACAGCTGTATTGTTTTGTAAAGACAGTAATTTAAAATTCTGTTTGCAGCTTCACGGTGATGGACAGCATATGTTGCAACGTTACAGTGTAATAGGGGACCTGCATTATCAGTTTTATTTACCATTATGGCTCATGCAATGCGCGAAAACATTTCCTGTATAGTTATATGTTATAAGCTTTTTAGATAATTGAAATAAATAGTCAAAGAAGCAGTATTAACATATAAAATAAGAATT